CTTAGGAGGACTGAAAGTCACTGTTGGGATCTCTCAGAGTCTACAGTTGCCTGTGCAGCAAATAATCTGATAACATTTCCATAACTAAACTTTATAAGTTAACTGTAAATTAAATTTACACTTTCATTTTAAAAGGGAGAATTTGAGAAATTGAGTAAGAATAATATTTTTTCAGTTTTTTTTAACAGTCACCTTAAATATTTTTGGCTCCACACCTCATGAATGGTTACATTTTTATTTAAATTACCTTTTTTATTATTATTTTATCAGCTTTGTATTTCTACATGAAAACCGCATTTTCAGAACACTGTATCTGGAGCTGGAAAATGGAGATAGTAGGAAATTATGACAGTAGATGAATGTGATAGTTATTTTTCTTAAGACTCTACAGTCACAGATGCAATGGCCTGGAGTAATCTGAGAGGCCATTGCTTTTCTGCAGTTACTCCGTCTGATTAGCAGAGTATGCATGACACTAAATAGTGTTGATGACACTAAACAGGGCCTTTTCAATCTCTCCATTCCTGGTAAAACCAGATATGCACCTGCACATCAAGAATATTGCAGACCAGTTTTAAGACACTTCTGACTGCATCCATAATGTACAGGACAGGTATTAGAAAAAGTACTGATATTTGTTAGATATGTGCATATATGTGCACATTAATTGAGTTTTAGGACAGATCTGTTATAACAGACTGCTTTTTTTTCTTAACTGAAACAGCTGAATGGAAATGATTGTACTCTCTCTGGAGTTATCAGACAGAAGGTTTTTGGGGAAATGATGTCGGAATCAGTGTCCAGTGAGAGGCTGACTTGTGGAGAGGCTGAATTGTTGCAAACGAGTTTGGGACCAGTGGGGAAAGTATCCTCTTGATATCCTGGAGAGGGGTACCTGAAAGGTCACATTTGAAAAAAGAAATGGTTGAGAGTTGTTCTGCATATAGTAGTAACACTGAAAACTGCATACTGTAGATCATCAGTACACTTTCATGTGGAGAGCACTATAAGACATTAAATTGAAGTTGTTAATCGCAGTTGTTATTAATTACTGTGGGTGAACAAAGAATAAGGTTGATTTGCAGTCTGAAAGCATGTGTCCAGAGTGTCCTTCGGTACTACGCACCTTCTCAAGTAAAAAAGACCTAAATTCTTCAAACAAGTGCAGTGTGAGTAAGTTCACAGTTCCAAGATGCATTATCCTCTACATTTGGGGAATTATTGGGCATGATTATAAATGTAGGGAGAAAAGCTTGTGGGCATATATGAGACACCAAAAAGCCTTCTCTTGAGATTCGTTTTCAGTTCATTCTCATGTTAGGTCAAAATCACAAAGTATCAGATTTGTCCCCAAATAATTAAATATAACTTATTTTGGAGACCCCATTTGATCCTTTGGCTTCTAGGCACAGAAACGTGTACGAATACCCTTGCAAAGTCACTTAGTTTTAAAAAAAAATCCAAAACGCGAAACCCCGTCAAACCATTTTTTTAGCCCGCTAAAAAGCTGTGTTCCTTTGTTAGTCCCGTTGCGTTCCTGCAGCAGCACAGACTATTTGCAGATGGGAGGGGGCGTCGAAAAGTGTTATTTCTTTTAATTGTGTTTTATTTACACCTTTCCAGCCTTGTTGCCCGTTTGCCACTGGTGCTGCAGGAGCGGCTCGCTCCCAAGCCTCCTCACCGCCAGAGGTAATCCCCAACTTCACTCCCCGCAGCGGGGGCAGCTCTCCGTGCCGCTCAGCCTGTCGCCCCTGTTACTGGGCTTTTTTTTTTTTTTTTTTTTTTTTTTTCCCAGAGGAGACGGCCGGGTAAAGGTAAATCTCCCGTCGCCAGCAGGGGCAAGAGGAGCCCCTGAGTTCCCCCCGTGTTCTGGCTTTCCTCTCCTTGAAGCCCTGTGTACACAAAGGGCTCGCTTCTGCCTTTCAATTAGGTAACCGAGATTTATTTACTTTTACTCTTTCTCCCATCCCTACATGTATTTAGTGTCTGTAACTCCTGTCAGCTTCAGGATTGGGTGTTCTTTTAAATTTTTTTCCCCTCCTCCCGATTAAGTTATTTATTTGCATTTCCCCGGAGGCAGATTTAAATCAAACGTCCGTGTGAGGGAGGACTCCATCCAGCCTGAAACCTACAACCAGGAGACAGACGGGGCCGGCCGCAGTGTGCGGGCGGCGGGCAGCTGAGCACTCCGGCTGAGCGCCTCATCTCGCCTCACGGGGCTGGGGCTCCCGCGGCTCTGGAGGTTCCCGAGGAGCCCCAGCTGGGTGGGAGGCTTCTTCTCAGCATGTCTGAGGGGGTCGCTGAGATCAACCTCAGTGCATACCCTCAGGGAAAAAAACAACAACCAAAAAACCCCAACACCACAGAACACAAAAAACCCACTAGGGTGTTGCTGGAGAAGGAGGGTTTCCCCGTGCTTAAGGACTAAACCGGCAGGGACAGCGCTTGGCACTGGCGGGTCCTGCGGAGCTTTCCCAAAGCGCCTTATATGGCGGGGGGAGGGGGGCGCCCCGGGCACGGCTGCGAGCGCCGATCCCAAACCCAGGGGAGTGTGTGCGTGGGGGGTCTCTTTGTGTTACACACGCTTGTGTCATTCTAGGGAACAGAGAGAGAGGCCGCCGGAGGAGACGGGGGATCTCCCAGGATAGACAGTCCCGCCAGAAGGAAGAGCGATAGCATCCTTTCCGGCCACAACAGGTAAATCGTATTTGGCCACTACAGGTTGAAGTTGTGTTGTTGTTGTTGTTGGTTTGAGCTTTTTGTTTGGATTTATGGTCTGTTTTAGGGTGGGTTTTTTTGTGTCTTTGTGGGAGGTTTTAGTACAATTTTTTTTTCATTCTCCCTCTTTTTCCCTCCTCTCGGCGTTTTCTGAATGGCATGGACCTGACCAAGGGGAGGCGGTTATTGGCAGCCCGGGGAGCGCCGCCGCCCTGTCCCCAAGCCAGCTGTCTGTCCCACAACGGGGGGATGGAGAAAACCCGGAGACGCGGAGTGCGCGTCCCGCCCGCTGCCCCTCCCTCGTCCCTCGCGCAGCTCTGCCGCAGCCCCGCGGAACTCTGCGGGCCCTTCGCTGCCAGCCACCGCGGGAAATGCCACGGGAGAAGACACTTCCCCTCTGAAGAACTGTGCGCGACTTCCATGAAGAAATGGAAGGGAGTAAAGCCGAGGGTTTGTCTATTTGGCATTAAAACGGGGGGGGGGGGGAAAAACCCGCGCGGTTCGGTCACCTGCTCCGCGCCCGGACCGCATGAGAGCTGAGCCCGGCCCGTCCCTGGGGCGCGGTGGCGCGGCCCCGAGCGAGGCCTGCGGGAGCTTTTATTGCTCATAAAGGGTACTGGGGGAACGGCCAGTAATGCGATCAGGAAGGGAGGTATTAGGCAGAACAGCGCTCAGGCACTAAAAGCGCCCAAAAGTGTGCTCTCAAAGGACACTTCGGGCCGAGCAGCAGTAAAGGTTTTATTGGTAACTGAGAAGCGCCTCGCAGCCGCAGGTTTGCCATTAATGACCGCTTCGGTGGGTAAGAATTACACTGCCGGGCTGATGGCGAGACCCAGCGGGCAAAGGGCACTACGCGGTAATAGCAAGTATTTACTAAAGGAGTTACTGCCAAATGAATGCCGGGATTCAGGCTTCGACTTGCCGGATAAACTTTTTAGTAACTATGAAAGGAGGCCAATAACATTTATAGAGGAAAGAAAAATATTTGAAGTCAGAAACTTCTCTAGTAGCTGAAAATTAACTTCCGACAACAAGCTGGATTCCCCTCCTCGTTAAATCTAAGAAACTCTGTCCTTAAATTTCACCCTAAAAGATCTACTATTATAAAAATAACAGCACCCCGCAAGGCAATTTTCCAGCTGTAGAAGAACCTTTAAAACCAAACCAAGTGCTGCCTGTGGGCAGACGTGTATGCTTAGAGCAGTGAAAGCCGAGCATCCACAATATTTTTGTTAGGATTTTCAGGTATGCAGGGAGCACACAAATGTTATATTTTCTTTTTGATCTGCTTGTTGTCAAGTAATTAGTAAAAGGAATTACCCGCTCTGGCGCTGTGCCTTCGGGTAGCAAAGGCATTAGAACTTTAAACTTCGCATTTTCTGAAAGTCTCTGGCTAGACTGCCTCCTCCCTCAGCACCAGTCCTTTCAGGGGGGGTTAAAATTTTAATTCAGTTCGTTGTGATTATGAAGGGGTGGGTTATGTCGCTGCCTCTGCCCATTTGAAGTTAATAGACTGATTCCAGTGACTTTGCTTCTCCGGGCAAAGGCGGGGGAGAACTTTGTGGAGAAGCGCCTGTTCTGTACCCCCCGCTGCCTCCCGGCCAGCTCTGCGGCAGGGCTGGCACGCATCGTGACACAGGTAGATAAATCAGATGGGGCGATAATCAGCGCAGCCTCCACTGTCTTTGGGAAGGCTCTCTCCTTTTGTCTTCGAAAATCTGCCACGCGAATTTCCCCAGTGGACTCCTGCATTTTAATACGCTATGTAATGTTAACTCTACCTTAAAAACAAAAACAAAAACACAAACCCAAAACAAACAAACAAACAAAAAACAACAAAAAAACAAAGGGAGAGAAGACGGTGAAGGCGCTTGCAATTAACTAATCCTTTTACCTTTTCTCAAACACGGATTTAAGCTCTAAATTTTATCCGTGCAAACGAAAACAGTAAATATTGAGGTACAGGTTCATAAAGATACCTAAATGAACACATAGCTTTAGTGTGCATATGTATATAAGCAGTTTTGTCATTTGTTCAGTGCACTTTCACTGAAAAAGAAGAGAGGCTGATGAAATGATTATCCTTTCATCAGATTAAAGTCCGTCTGTTATTTTTAAATCTTTAAATCCTTTCGTCAGGACTATGGCTTTATTCGAAATGATGAAATAGAGGATTTTTGCTTGTAATAGGAAAAAAAAACAAATAAAGAAACAAACTACCCCATCCCCAAAAGATTTTCTCCACCTTCCCGCCTCCAAAACAACAACAAAACACCAGAGCATCCGAGAATTTTTTAGTTTTATTTTGCTTGTATATTCAACGCAGAGACTTAACAATTACAGGCTAGAAAACCCATTTGAAAACAGTAGGGCCACGTTACGACAAAGGTCTGGCCAGCATTAATTTAGTGTTTGGAAAACAGTTGACAGCTGCGAAGGTTTCCCCCTTTCCTTCCTTTCCTTTAAAAATAAACCCCTTCAAATCCCAGACCCCATCTCGGTTTCTCTGGGTAGAGTCCCTTCTCTCTCTCTTTCCAGTTGCATGAAGGGGTGAATTGAAAAATCATTTAATTATTTTCATTCTAATCGCCTTAATCCCCCTTATACTAGGAGCAAATGATGATAATGGGATCCACATGGAAAAGACCCCCGGGAGAGGGGGATTAGGGCAGAATATTCTCCCGGCCCTGCACCCCGGCAGGTGGAGACCGGCGGGGCGGGGCTCGCCTCGGCACAGTACGGCACGGCACAGCTCGGCTCGGCTCGGCTCTGCTCGACTCCGGCGGGGTTGGGGGTTTTAACATGCAAAAAAATATTGGAGTAAGCCTTCTCAATCTGTGGGTAGCTTGTTTTTTACTATTTCATTTTTGCTCCAGGTGACACAGCTGTAAAGTGACTCGGTTGTCACTCTGGGGAGACAGGGGACTCTCCTGAAACAGAGGAAGAAAAAACAAGACACCGCTCCTCCCCCCCTCCCGCGATCCCCCCGTCTCTTCGGAGCCTGAGCAACGACAAACTGATTAATCTTCCCAGGTCGCCCTCGCAATCCCCGAGGGCCGCTCCGCTTAGCCGCCATCCGCGGTCCGCGAACGTGCAAATCCCCCGACTGCGGGGGCTCCGCTGTAGCCCAGGGAGTAGGAGGAAGGGCAGGTCGCCGGCGGCACTGTTTAGAACCACCGCCGCAACACTACTCCCATTTGAGGCTGCAGGAACAGAGCCAAGAGGGAGATCACCGGGCGCTTGGTTTTCTTTGGGTGTTTTCAGATCTGTACAAACACTGGGCCTGCCGGTTTTTATAAACAACTTTTGGGACGCAGTCAATCAATCATACTGGCAAGCAAACAGACCAGGAGCCTAGGATACATACAAGGCATAAACATATACATATAAACTTTGTCTTCTTTGGAGTAGTTGGATTTTTTTTTCTATAAGCCTTTCTAAGAGAAACCCTATCTATAAAGATTCTGACAAAGTCAGGAAATCACAGTGAAAGAGTAGGAGGTATTGTTAGGCAGTTATGTTACATTGTATGCTTTAATACCAGCAAGGAAAATATTGGAAAAGAGAAAGAAAAAAGCATCTAATCAACTTGAAAACTTAAAAAAAAATTATGCTTACAGTCAGAGAGACAATTTCAAGAGTACGTGGCCGAAAAACATGAAACGTGGTAATTTTAAAATACAATGCAATAGATACATCTGGAAAAGACATGAGTTTACCAGATTTGCTAGTCAGCAAAGTATTCTTTATGTTGCAGTCATTTCTAGCCTTACTTTTTAATTTGAAACATATTTGTATCCAGGAATAGGTTCTTGGGAATGCACTGTGTTGTTTTGGTTTGGTTTTTTAAATGATCTTTTGATAATAAGAGCCCTGCCCAGCATGGAGTTTGTGCCCTCTCTTTCTGAGTCTTTCGCTTGCAAAAGGATACGAGCGAACGAGGAATCCATAGCACAAAGAATGCAATAGATCTGAACATCCCAGTAATGCAGAAAGAATAGTTAGGGTAGGAAAAGCTGATCAAGTGTCAGGATTTAGAAGAGCTTATTCTGTGCTGATTAACAGATTAACAGATCTGGTTGGTGCTGCAGAAACAGTGTGTTGTTCTTAATCTACCCTGCCATGATCTGAAACTGTGGCCCTTTCTGGATAGCGAGGTTGAGGAAAGCCTAGGGAATGATGCTCAGAGAGGAGAAGCTGTGTTCTGGCAGAGAGCATCAAGAGAAGCTTTTCCCAACTGGTGAAACCTTCCAAACAAGCTTTTATAATTGAGGACCAGTGTCGGATTTGTTTAGGAAAGACTTTGTGACTGCATCGCTTCTATGGAACCATCGAAAAGAATAATTTTCTCTTTTTGAACTTATTGCATTTGTTGTGCAAGTTTTCCTACCAAGAATAAACTTGGTATTTGGTAATTTCACTCCATGGTTGTCATCTGTTAAAACAAATCCTATAAGGGGCCTAAGCCAAATACTACTCGTGTCAGGAAAGTGGGTTTTGGTGCTGTCCTTCCAAGCTGACTGGGTCTTAGAGACATAAATAGTAGGGAAGTTGTTTCATTGGCTTCTCAGAAAGATGTGTATGGTCAGCAGAATAGGGACTGGGCTTACATCTAAGATCCCCCTTTTAACGACCTGTGTTTAAAACGGATTGGATTACTTGCTTGCTTAAAGGCAGTTCCATTTTCATATAACAATTTATACTTATCATCATGTAAGTGAAAGCTTTAGCAATCCAAGCTTTATTCTTGCGGACCTGAGGTATTATTTTCCACAGAAATGTATTATGGAGTCCTTTCACAGAAACTTGTCTTGATTTGTGATGTATAAGACTGACACAATGAGTGATAAATGTATTAAATGACAATTTCCAGTTAAAATAGTACATGAAATACATAGTCATTAAAATAGTATCTGAAGACTCTGCAAATACCTAATAATTTTGATGTAAGTGATTTTAATGTTATGGAAAAACTGAAAGCTCACATACATTTTTATCCTCGAAGATTCAGTCTTTCCCCCTTTTCCCCCAAGAGAAATTATTATTAAGACTGATATAAGCAAGCTTTTCTGGAAAGAAAGAAAATGAAAAAGGAGGAAAGGGGAGAGAATTATACAATACACATACCTAACAGTATAAACAACTCCACCCCTCATCCTCCAACCTGGCTTTCTTCAGCCTTTTGAGCATTTTTTCTAAAATTTGTGATATGGCAAGTGACAAATGTCTTTCCGGAAGATCTGACAATGCTACTGACTCACCAAAGACTGTTTGCAAGAAGTGCTGGCCAGAGCAGACAGGTTACTATTCATCAGCCTCTTAAAACACAAATTCTCCTTTGCTACATTATGTGGTACATCTATACACTGAAAACTGGCTATGAAGGGAGTGAAACCAAATGGACACTTCAATCATTGCTTGAGAAGATTAGATTTTACTAAAACTGAGATGCCTTTTCTTTTAGATCAATATTCTGCCATACCTATACAGGTGGGACTCTGCTTTTTGTTTTACAGATCTCCTATGCATCACGGGCATTGAATTTTACAATTTCTCTTTTTTCTCAGGTTAAATGCTTTCTGGCACTACTTGTATTAAGTATGACTTACACTACTTGTAGTAAGCATAAACACTCCAAAGAGTCAACCTGCTTTTGCTTCTCTTCTTTATTGAGAATAGATTATCCCAAAAGATTTGAGAATACTGCTATGTTTCAGTTGATAACACAGTGACGTTTATCAGCTTAAACAGTGTGTTGAGACAATGGATCTGTGAGAAGGTGAGGCATTAAAGATAATTCTAAGCTTTTGCTTCTTCCAAATCTCAATAACATCCTGACTCTACTCCTTTGAGTTACTGATTTGCTTTTGAAAGCAGTGGGACAACAATTTTACTAGGGTGTAACCTGTTAGCTGTCTTGTAAGGATAATGCAGATAAGCTTCTCCAAGTACTATCTCATATTCTGTGTAAAATTCTTCTTAGTTCAAGTATGTAGCGAACAACTTCTAAAATGGACTAAAGATCATCAATCAGCATTCATTAAATTAATTTGAGGATGATTTTGGAATGGATTGACATAAAACTATGATTGGCAACATGGGCTTCCTTTTCTGTTCCTTTTGTATAATAGAACAACTGTCTGTTCTTAGAAAATATTGATACTGAGAATACATTTTAACTGCTAATTTCTCTTTTATCCGTTATTTAACCACTGTTAAGAAATTACAGAGAACACTTTATATTTTAAAAATAACAAAACTACATGCAGTCTATTTACTAATTTGGTGGAAGAGGAGTAGACTGCAATGGAATACTGCTCAGCCTCCCTGTGGACAGCTGTGGAGAGGTGAAGAGGTGTTGGGCAGGGCAGGAAGGCTGTTATGTTACTGCAGGAAAGAGGGAGGATGAGGTCTGAACAAGTCTGGGACCAGGTATCCTCTTACAAAAACCACTAATCTCACCTCTTTAAAACGTCTGTCTTCATCTGCATTAAAACCAACAACATTTTAGTTTTAATGAAAAATCTTATCAAAGAACATTTCTTCCCTTGGTTCTTTCCGTTTTACTAACTTGAATCTTTAGACTCAGATCATAAATCTTGATTTATGTTCGACAATTTATGATTTTAAATGAAATCTATCTTATACAGGAAATCAGAACGTCAGTCTATGTACCATTAAAAAATCCAAATTAGGCTTGTAAGTGCTGTGATTTTCAGTATACGTCATGCAGCACTATGTACACTGTGAACACTTAATAGCAAGAAAGGGAAATCATATACTAATGTATATACTTTTAAAAAGTTGAAAAAGAATTAAACAAAAGCTGATTACTAATCATGTGACTTCCATATTTTATTACATATCTAAACCTTATATATAGGGAAAAAAGATTCAAGCATTTTTATTATATTTTTGCAGTGATAAATGAGCGTTGAGTATTTATTCTAAATTTCTCTGCTATGCCAAGGGAAAAACCAAACCAAACCAAAAAAAGTCCAGCTTTTGCTAGTACAAAATCAGAAATGGCACTGTTAGACTTGACAGCATGGAGCAGTAGCAAATACATTTACTGATATAAATTCCTAAGTGGAATATAGAAACAAGAATTACACTTAATGTAAAAAAATACATCATCTTGATTTTGACTAAGAAGCACACTGAGAGGTGCACTTCTCCAGCACTGCTAATGCAGTTCTGTGATTTTCTTGCTTGTTTTTTTACGCAGGTGATTTATGCTGCCTGAAGGCAAGTAAACTTCAGAAGTTCTCCAGTTATAAAAATATATTTCAATTCAATTGTGTTGCATGTAATGAAGACAATTAGTCTGAATTCTGGATAGGAAGACAGGGAAACTGCAGTTGTGAAAATAGTTTTTTTAACACACAAGAAATAGCTAAGATAAAAGTCATGCAAAGAATAAGCGTGCCATTGTGGTTCATAAGGAATATGTTCTGCCTAGTGTAGTAGAGCAGTACCAAGTCTTTTTCACCATCTACATCACTGTGAAGCCTCACAGGATTTTTGGCCCGCTGAGTTAATTGATAGAACTGGTGTATAAAGGGGTCCACAGGAGCGAATGCAAGGTCAGTTTGTTGATACAGCGTTATGTGACTGCAGAAAGACTTTTGCAGCACAGGCAGGAATGTGTTTCCTTGGAAGGGGAAGGCTGCTTTTGAAATTAAAATAGTCCTTTCAGTTTTTGTGTATTTCATGTGTTAAGGAGAACATAATGCTCAAGCTGTAGACCAACAGAACAAATTTCCACAAGGAAAGCAAAAAAGGCAAATTGTAAATAATTTTCAATATCTACCTTACCTTTCAAAATAATTACTCATTTTCTTATGTTATGGTCCTGTATGAAAAGTATTGTGAACTTTTCAGATTCTGGTACACATGTGAACACAGATGCATTTGCCTCGAGTCCAACAGAGCATTCCTAGCAACCTATTGGCATGTAGTGCTCAAAGGATGAGATCCTCCTAATGAAATGTAGATGGTCTTTCTCCAGAAAAACTTAGCTAAACAAGTTTTGATATATATTTTTCACTGTTAAAGAATTTCTCCTCTGCATGGATTATAGTATTTTCCATAAGGTTAATAATAAAGGCTGTGCTTGCTCTGAAAACTTCAGTTTACACTGGTATTCACTGTCAAAAACAGACTATTGAAGTAATGAATGAGGTTCACTTCCTCAGAATGTGTAAATGTCCCAACTTACAGTTAAACTTTCAACAGCTGAAAGACAATACCATTGACATGTATCTGGCACTAGTTACTCAGGTTTATTTTTTCCTGGAAAGCAGTTTAGGGCGACAGAGTGGCGTCCGGGTTTCCCAGGTTGTTGTGCTGACAAACTGCAGTGGTGGTAAAGGCAGGGAGTCTGACAAAATCTCATTAATCATTTTAAATTAAATCCAACATTCCTCTCCAACACTGCCAAGAAGAAAGCTAACTTTTACAAATGAATACTCTCTCTGAAAAGAACTGTTATCCTGACCATGTTGCTTTCACATAAATAAGCTTGATTTTTTTTTAGGTACACATACTCTATTAATAAGCAGCATTTTTAAGCTTAAAGAATCATGCATTTGTTGCATTATTAGGAATCTGAAAAATACTTTTTGCTCATTTTCTGTATTAGATACTATGAGTGAACCACATAGCTGAAAATTAGAGCCTCTTCCTTCTTTCAATGAATTACAGTTTTTTGCTTTTGTAAAATTGTAAATACAGAAAGTTCCTTTTTAATTTAAGTAAATTTTACACATGAAACGGAAATATTCTGTGTAAAGATTTTCTAATCCATTTTTTCTCTAAGCCTATTTACATGAATAAGAAAGGAAAACTGCAAATCTACTAACATTATGCCAGCAAAAACAGAGATGATGAAGGAGCAATGTGATCTCTTTAAAGTTTTTTACATACACATTTCTGAAACCAATCCTAGCTATTTGGGTATGATTTAATTGTGCATATTGTATTGCAAGTCTGAACTTAAACATCTAATAAATAATATCAGAATATCATCTAAAACTTTATCCTATTAAAATCATTATTACATGTAGATTATAAAAGTTTGGATATTATTTCTCTTTAAGGCAAAATGAAACCATAATGTGCCTATGGGAGACACAGGAAATACTTTAAGTCTGTTCTTTTTCCATTTTAATAGTGCTTTTGAGCTTTGTTACTCAAAAGGGCAGATCTTACAATGGCAGAGAACAAGTCATCAGCCTTAATGTTTATGAGATCTGATACAACCATGAAATACTTGAAAAAAATCCCCATCCAATAGAAGTCAAGTAAATTCGACTTTTCTAAATACTTATTATTGTTATTTTGACATTTTAACATGATCAAGTAGGTATACCTCAATTTTAAGTACTTAAAATAATTTAATACTTGTTTTCCAAAAACAGAAATATAAACAAATAGTGAACAATGACATCCTTACACAGAAAACAAAATTATTACCACTTCAAAAAAGAGCAATTCCTGTTGGCAATTTTTATCTAAAGAACATTAATAAGCTGCAGAATACTGAAGAGGAAACAGTAACATTTATTTGCCCAGCTAGTCAGTTTATTTTCCTAAAGCTGTATTTTTGAACTGTTTACAGTTTTTCTTTTTCCAATGTGGAGGGTGAAAGCGAAGAACAAATCGAACAAATCGAAACAGAACAAATCGAAACTTTTTTCCTGAATGCGATATTCTTGCTCACTTCAAAATTGACAGACATATCTCTAAGTTACATTTGTTTGGGCTTTTGTATGTTGAAGTTTAAATTTAATTTAAATTTTAAAAAGTCAAAGCTGTATAAACGTGTTGTTTAGAGTTTGAATGGAAAGTATTCTAGACCCAAATAGAGTCTGAGAAAATGTATATCAGATACTGCCTATAACTACCATATGAATATGCAATATATGCCATATTCCTTCAATAAATGCAATGAGAGTCTGAGAATTTAATACATGCAACAATGAGCTCTATTTGCGTGACACTTTACATGGACACAGGTAGACACACTTCCCCTACATGAACATAGAACAGTTGTCCTTCTGTCACATCTGTATATACTGAAGTTAGCAAAATTTCAGAAATGGCTATTCAGAATGATTCCAGTGTCTTTTAGGACCAGAATAGCCAGTGTTTGCAGGGCAGTGGGCTGCAGGCTCATTTCTTCCTTCGGTGCTGTGTACAGTCTGTACACTTAGCATTAAGGCAACACCACATGGCCAAAGTTCAAAGGACATGCAGTGGTGGAATCACAATAGCTTGGGAATCTTTGCAGTTATAGGTTGATCGTGCTCATGTAATCAGGCTTGGAATCCTCTACCTAAGTCTTCTGAAGTGTTTGATCAAGTAGCTATTTCCACATCAAATCATTTACTGACACCTGGATCAATTAAGTATCTATCATTATTTTCTTTTGCAATGTGCATTGAAGAAGACACTGCCCAAAACTCAGTTTTGTAAAGGGTTTTTGGAGGATGACTAAGAGAATTTTTCTCACTTTGTAAGAGTACTATTACACCTGCTTATGACTATTTTTAACTTTTAAGACAGAAAATTGCCTAATTTCACATAAGGTTCAGATTATTACAATGCAAAAAATTACTTCTGAGCCACTCTGGAAAAAGAGTCAAACTGGAAAGAAAAAAAAAAAAGGACAGAAGAAATATCTATATTCATTCTTTGTTTCTTGGTTGCCTCTGAGGGAATTCACACTTCGCATGCTGTGTTTGCTACTTCCTGTTCAGCTCTGAGCTAGAAACATAATGTACAACACGAGTTGGGCACTAATCATCTAACACTGTTCGAAATCCTGTTGGGAAGATCAGATGTGGTTATCTGATGCCATTACGGTTTTGTTTCCTTTTCCCTTGGACTCGTCCTATGGAAATTTTAATCATATCATCCTGTTTCTAATTTATCTTTTTGGCTGCTACACTGGCCTTGAAGCTTTCTAAACCTTGCTAATAGACGCATTCATCTACTCCAGAAAAATAACATGTTCTATCTACCTGGAGGCTTTGTTTTGTATCAGGGTAAATGGAAATTAAGAGAAATGCAGACTAACAATTCATGCTCTCTTATCAGTGCAAAATCAAAACCAGTATCACTAATGCCAACTTAAATACAAGTCAGAAGAGAATTAAGCCTTCCTCTGCATTTATGGTTTGAGAAGAAAACATTTCCTAATAAAAATAGTTCTAACTTCAAAATTCACTGCATTCTTCTTATTACATGTATAACTTCTGAGGCGTGTTTTCTAGAAAACTGTATTCTGCAGTGTCCACTTAAGATCACTTTAAGGAGCCCAGGAGCTCAGACACACACTCTTTATTTGTGTTTAAGATTGACTGACCACTGCAGAACACATCCTTGGACTTCTTGAAATACATGAAACAAAACAGGGTGAAGAGTATTTATCCTGAGAGAGGCAAGTGATACTGTAAACCTGTCTGGAAGACAGCTGCTATACTGCTGGCTCCTGGCTTTGTGTGTGTGTGCTACATAAATACAAATGGCATTTACACTTGACTAAAGGTAATATAATAAAAAAGTACAACTTTTTCTGTGTGCATTTTTATATGTGGACCAGAGCTATAAACAAAATGTACTAAACACTTGAAATAGCAGCAATAGCTACATTTTTTCTTCCTGTCATTTAGGCAGCCCTTATGTGGACTGTCATTGCCATGATTATTCTCACTTCTAAATAAAATATAACACTCCCTATGTACCAAATGGAAAGCAGCAGCGTAGACAAAGTGTGTGCCTACGAGGAGTATGCATTCAGTTCCTGGCTCTGCCATGGGCTTTCTACATAGAAGATCAGATTAATCTGATTAATTAACGAACTAAGAATGCCTTCCCACCTCACCTCATGGTGTGGTAGGGAAAAAGAATAAATGTACTTCTTGCCATGATGAATCCAGATGCTACTGATAGCTGAATATTATGTAAACAAACCTAATGAAGAACAGCTCTTATTTTAACTATGTTATGTCAATTTAAGAAAAGCACTGCTCTGTGAGTTGTCTGAACAAACACCAGGCAAAACCTCATTCAATTCCTGCACATGCATAGCAGTTGCACTGCTAATATTCTACATACTTCAGACACAACCTGACCTAAGTAATTTTTGAAGTATTTCCATAAATCTAGAACTGTTTAAAAAGCTAGCTATATGACTGATTTCAAAAGTAACTCAGTATCTGACTCTGAAACGGCTCTTGAATTCTGCACAGTCACTGCTCTAATCTTGCACAGTCAGTTTTTAACAGCTTTAGCAATGAGTCATCTGGTATGTATTTGCCCAGGCATTTCCATCATTGACACTTCTAGACTGAGGGAACCAGCTGAAAGCAGCAATACGTTAGTAGCCCCCACTACTTTTCCTGTTTGGATTTTTCCTTGCTTACTGTGCTGAATAAGTGATTGTAGTTGCCCTGTTTCCCAAAAACTAGTGTCTGCAAAATAGGTTATATATGTAAATTATGTAAAACTCTCTGTACACTGCATTATTTCCCTTGGCAATCCCTGTATGACATCAGGGTTCATCTAAAATAGAGCCTGTAATCTTTAAAACTGAATGAATAGCAGATTGGCAATATGCTAATTCAAGTTAGTAAATATAGTATAAAATACCAGCCTAGATGTTTTACAAGTGTTGTCATCTCCTAGAATAAACTTTATTGTAGTACTCAGACTAATGTTTCTCTAAGTTATGCATCTGAGGTAGTCAGCATTGTAAAAAAAAAATGCAAACAAAAGTACAACACTATTTTAAGAGATAAGAGGAGAAATTTTAGTTAAAATATTTCACAATAAAATAATTATGCTTATAAATCTCTTCAGTTAAATATATACACATTACACAGTATCCTAAAAAGAACGAACTTATTAAAGTTTCAAGCAGATCTAACGCACAAATTCACCACTTTGTCAGCTTAGACTGTAATGTCAGTTTAACATTCGTAAATGGCTGTGTCAGACTAATGGCATTGTTTTGTGCAAAACTGAAAAAAATTATGAAAACCAAGTCCTTCCATTCCCATAGTAAATAGATAGAAAAGGTAGTTTACACATACACACACTTACACACACAAACTTTGATTGCATACAGAGGTTAGAATGACCAGCACTAAAATAACCCCCATCTCTACAAAATAATTAATGTCTTGAATTGACGTAATATTTGAAAATTACAAATTTTAAGTGCTAGCAAATTGTGCTTTTAGGCAGCCACATGGCCAATAAGGTAGATGTTGTCATAAAGGTGCCCTACAAAATCTTCACTAATATTCTGTGCAGCTCGTCGCGTATTTCGGATGAATTCCCTCTTTGACATTTTGTTCTTCACGTGAGGGCTTGTTAGATCAATTGAAAGTAGAATCAAAGAGTAACACAGTACATAAACTGCATCTAGACAAGAGAGAATAAATAAAAAAAAGTTTAAACAAGAAATTGTGATCATTAAAAATATTGTTTCCTCTCTAAGAACCTTATGGTCTTCATCATCTGGGCTCATTAATTTTGTTTACATATATGTATGTATATATATACATATATAACAACTCAAAGGGGTATCCCAGTGAAATGAAATTGAATACAGAAACTTTCAAAGTAATAATGTCAGCAGGTTGCCAAATGAGAATTCACAAATCTCTTAATATTTCTACATAATCCAAAACTCACTAAGGGCTTTATTCATGTTCATTTAAACAGCTTCTTGAAGGTTTTGTGAACTAAAGTCAATATCCTGCAAAAGCTTATCTTTAAAAAAGTAAGCAGTTCCACTGCTGAAAACTGCTTTCCCCCAACAAATTAGAAATGCTTGTTAACTTCTTTGAGGCCCAAAATTCCCTTTCATTTCTGTGAGACTATCCACAAGGTAAAATGCTAAGGGTGTAAGACTTTGCAAGAGGAAATTCAGAGACAGTAAAAAACTCAATTAAAAAGCTGAAGCACAGACAAAAGTGAAGGAAAGATAACATGGAAATAAACTCTATTAATCAGCTAAAAAAAGAATCTGTATATTTGGGTTTTATTGTTGTTTTTTTTTTTAAACCCAACTGGAATTATGACTATATACTGAACCATGTTTGTACTTTCAGAAATACGTGTTTAGGTGCTGATTTTAAAGCTATCAGAAACAGTAGTATCATCCAGAAACAAAAAGACTGATCCACAAAATCAAAGCTCATTTTTGCTTACCAGGACTAAGGCCAAGTTCTCTCATCAAATCAGGATTACAAGCACAGAATCTGTGAGAGAATTTTGTTATGAGAGTTTCAAGGTACTCCCCACGCTCCTCAGGAGCATGAATGTGTCTGAAGAACTCTCTCAGTGCATTTGGCAAGAACTGATTTCTGAAGTTGTGCAGCGTCACAAGGTCATCCAAAACATCTCGCCTGGTAGAATGAAAACTCACATTATTAGAGAAGTTTCTTTTAACTGTTAAAATATGAAAATGTAGGTTTTAAAAAAAAAACCTGAAAGCTTTAGAACAGTAGGATCTTTGTTTTCTGCTGAAAGGCAAAATGATCACTAACAGCACAAAGATAATATCTACACATGTTTTTCACTTATATAGCAGCCAAATACTATAAAAATATACATTAATCAGAACTCAAAGTTTCTTTATATGTATATTCAATCAGTCTATATGAAGGCTTTGCTTCCTTTAAACTGTGACAAAGCCATTAAAAAAGACAGTAAAGGGAATAAATTCACGTGTCACACATTTGGGTGCCTAAGTAGAAGCTGCTATAGGAGTGTCTTGTTAAAATCAGACTTCAGCTAGACGTTTCAGTACTAAGATGGGAGTTTCAACATTAGAAAACTGGTTTTTATTTTTAATGTCTGAATACACTGTTTATGAAGGGAAGATGAATGGCAGTAGTTGCTAACATTAACTTGCAATCTCATCCACTAAATGGTTTTGTGTATTTTCTATTGACTAAAAGATTGATAATCTGAAGTTTTACAGCACAGGACTGTCAGTGGTGACAACACTACAGAATAACTCCTTTTATTCCTTTAGTAGTACAATTTCAAGAGGATGACAAGCAGGAGGGGATTCCTGCTAGGAAGAACAGAAGGACAGCAGCATTTCTATTTAGATGCCTTTATTATTCTCCTTCTCTTTCAACTTCTGTTGAAAGTGCTGGTGCTCCTCTTTCCTCATACCGTCCCACTCCAACCTGATGGCATAAGAAAGCACTGTAGAGACAGAAGAGCACACTACAGCAGGGAGACTGTTCCTTACTGCAGCTCATGATGCCTCTAAGAGGATGCACCACTGCATCTTAGGAGGTGTTTGTGACTTGCAGTTGAGAAATATCAGACAATCAAATAATGGTTAGGTGATTCAAAATTAGTTAAAAATCTATCAACCCTTGGTAAAGTGATAACTAATTTTTCTGATTAATATCCATACTAGATAGGGAAAAAAAACGCCTCAAGTCAAAAAAAGCAGCAAAATATCTATAAAATCTGAATGTTAAACAGTGCAAAGACTATCCTGCGCAGTTTAAATGCTCACCATAACTTCAAAACAATTTATGCCCAGAACTGCAAAAATGCAGGAAAATCCCAGGATATGAGACTAATTGTTATAGGTGGTATTTTTGAGGGTTCTTATAACGTGTTACGGTCACAAAAATACTTAAACTGAGTAACTGTTCAGATTTAGCAGCATCATTTAGTTGCATTTTCTTGCCTTTTTACACCTTTAAAATTGCATACTACAAACAAAATATTGTTGAATGGTGCTATACGTTGAAAATTCATAGAAAATGTTTTAAGAGAAATTCAAATTACCTTTCATCAAGGTAGATTCTCAGCTTCTTCCAATTTAGTGTTCTCGTGCAAAAGATAAACTTAGCTATTTCTTTTGGTGAATCGTCTAATATGCCTTTGGACATAAAGTAGTTGACTCCCTGAGATAAAATACATGTACATATAAATTTGTTTAATCTTCATAATGTATTTGGGAACAAGTATTGTACTTCACAATGTAGGAATGTCATCCTACTAATTAGTTGGGTTGTTTTTCAGAATGATCCCTCCTCCTCTAAATCACATTTCAACATGCACAATACACTCTAAAATTATAAATCAAATGCAGAGAAACAATTTATTGTTATGGTTGAGATTTTACATTCAGTCTTAGTAGGAAATTTTAAATTATGAACCCTATAATGAGAATGATGGTTATTTAATAATTTCTTTACAGTGTAGATGAGTATTTTTACTTTCATACTTTGTTATAGTATTTAAAATGCTGCAGGGACCATAACGTTAATTTCATAACTTTTGTAAATAAGAAAATCTTAGCCATAATGTGTTTAGTCTTTAATATCTTTCATTAAAACAGTAATGTTCTCACATGTATACGATGTATCACATTCAAATAGATGCATTAAATGCATTTGTTTAAATGTGTAATAATGCAAATAAACACAAGCACGCTGATTTCAAAGCATAGGTAAATACCAACATATATAAATATGCATACACATAAATAAGAACACTATGCCTAACATAAAAATAGTTTAAAAACACAGAATTGTATATATTTTGTATTCATATTATGATTTCCACAATCTTACACTTTTACAAGCACACATTTCTTGCAGAATAAACATGCCAAATTTAATTTTAAAGTATTTCAGTGATATTCAGGATTCTTTCTGGTCATTGAAATATCCCAAAGCATAAAAATATTTCCCTTATCATCTCAGAAACCAAAACCCAATTAATGGATTTAAAAAACATTCACATTTTTCAATAACAAAAATCTAAACCTGAGAATAACTAACCAACTTGTTCCAATTCAGTTTGGTAGGGGCTGAGAGCGGTTCTGAGCATTTGTTACAAGACTTAAGTACAATATATGTTGACTGTAGAATAACATTGAAATGCAGAACATGTAGGACAGTGCATTTCTGCACAGAACAGTGTACCAAGGGCACAACCTAAATCACCTTTAAAATACTTCTGAAATATTTTTTCATAAATCCGCTGATATCAGGCTTCCAAATACTTTGCAAGTTTGCCCTTTTAGTTTACATTACATCTATAAAGACGTAGGGGCAACCTGTCATTCAGTGCGTAAGCTAAACTTCCCAGTACTCTTCAATTTTGTGTCAAAAAGAAATAAAGGGCTGAGTGCAGATTTGGAGCATTTTAAGAAGCAGATTAGTAAAGCAAAGCCTCAGTTGCATCAAGCAAAAAAAAAAAAAAGTAATTAGAAAATATGTTTAAGAACAAAAGTGAAAAGCCAAGAAACACCTGTAATATTAACTAGCTATTTTTACCAGTCCATAATTTTTGCTTATATATTTATAGAAAATATCTGTTAATTGGTATATATTTATTTCATTTAAAAAATGGTTTATAAAAATAAATCTTGCAATGTTAGGACCCAATTTTAAAAGAATCTGTATTTAGGACTGTAATGAAGCATGTATTGCACTATAAATTCACATTTCAGTCCAAATTAGATCATATTTTTGTCCATAACATGGATGGACAACATAACGTTAAGTACTCTTTTGAATTAGAGCTAAATAAGAAACTAAAAATGGGAGATTAAAATGAACAACTGTGTATTAATTCTTCAAGAATTTTGGCAATTTATGTAAGAGGAGCAGCAGAACATCTTTACATATATCCCGACTTAAAGAGATTTACACTTTTGCTTCAGTAACAGGTATTTGCTTAAGGTAGTACCAACTGAAGCCTGGTGAGGAAGTCTGAGTAGCATTCCTGCCACAACGAACAAACAGTTCTGCAACACTTCCAGGAAATACCTGGCATGTCATAGATGAGGCAGAATGAAAATAACACCTTCTTTAAGACAGACAATGGGTTGGTTTCTCTGTGACAGTAAATGCTGTAACTTCTTTCTCGTGCACTAGCTTGCAACTCAACATCCAATCTTCACCTGATAAGCTACGAGGTGTTTGCACAGCATTTTTATTCCCTGTCTCTAGTTCCCTCTTTCTCCCCCCACCATACTTAATTCTTGATAATATCTTTCTCTGTGAATGCAGTCTCATTCATTTTCCTCAACTCCTTCACAAGTAAACAGAGTATAAATGATATTTACCACATGCCATCATTTTTAGTTGCTTTTTATTTCATTCTAAGCTATCAAAAACACTTTGCAACAGCAGAGACATGATTTCTCTGTTAAGTTCTTAAATTTTGTCTCCCAGCAAATGAAGTTCATTTACAAGATTTACAGCATGTCATTGAATCTGCTTTTTGTAGCACTGCAAATACTGCCTGGAAACTCTCTCAGAAACCACACTTCAAATAGATCTCTTTTGGTAGCTAGGGTGGTCACTTGTGGCACACAGACTAGCTGAAATAAGTAGTTCTACACACTATTAAAACCTACGCTAAGATTATTTATCAGTCAGCTGGCGATTCCCTTAGGAAACATTTGACTGCAGTCAGGTAGGCAGATCTGTGCCACTCTCTGGCGGGTCTGAAGAGGCCTTTTTAACACTTCGGAGACATTGTGGGATGAGCACATACAGTATGTTCTTTTAATTCTGATTCAGAGCACTATAATGTTCTTAGCATTAGAGAATTAGGAGAGATGCCTCAAGGATACCTTGCCTCTGTGGCAAGAATATTACCACTGAATTTCAGACAGCTCTGGATAAAATATCAACGTATGGAAGCGTTGATTTAAATTACATATGCAAATAACAATCATAATTATAGACTAATAGTAACAACAAAAGCCATTTGTTGTATTTCAGTATGTTATTTTTTACAGTTGCTCCTTTTTTTCCATGCACACAATGCTTGTTTTCCCAACCTATTCTACTACAGCACTGATGCTCCTTGCTTGCTTTTCTGCCTGTTTCCAAGAGCCTTTGCATTCGTTTATATCCATATAGGATACCTAAAATGGAAAACTTTTATTTTTCAGTATTGGCTTCATTTCTGCATTTATTTTCTTCGCTGCTAGGAGCACTTTCAGAACTCTTCAGTACAGCAGTCAACATTAAAACTTTTGTAGTTGCTTTTGACACCTCTGTTTACATATGCATACAAAACAAAGTAGACATATTCTAAGTTAATGGCACAGAAATTTTGGAATCAGTGTTTTTCTACATATATAAATAATTTCTCTTTTTCATATTCAAATGGAATTGTTTGCGAAGTCAGAGTCGGGAAACAATGAAGCTTTTTATCTAATGCCTACTTAAAGGTAGTGCAGGAAAATATATGACAAATACATTTGTCAATAAAGACAAATTTCACTTAATATTTCAAATTTCACATAAATGGTTTTACACATGCTGTATTTGTTTAGCTTAAGAGTTTTTAAAGGTGACTAAGGAAAACACTAGTAGCATCTTTACATAAACATTTTTAGATGATTTATATTACTGCAAGTTATAAGTTTTTACATTTTGGTAGGATTTCAGAAGTATCAACGAAGTGCTAATTTCTTTCTAGTCTGTACTGTATTTAAAAAAGGTGATTTTGATCACCAACAAAATTAAAACGTTTTTAAAGAAAAGCTGAGAAAATATATGAATTCAAGTTTAAATAATAGCTTAATTATTTAGTTAAATTCTTTGAAGATAGTGGCTATCATTTTATTCTGTATATAGATTATCTAGCATAGTAGGGTGCCAATTTCTTATTGGGGATTCTAGGTAACAGTAACATTAGTAGTAAATAATAATTAGACATGTATGGTATTATTGCTCCCATTTTTCTAGGGAAATGCAGTATCTTTATATAGTTCATGGTGCATCTTCTGGAAAATATGCACAGTACAGATGAGATATTTTCTACTAGAAATTTTTAAGATTCTTTTACTAAGTAATGAATCAAGTAATTTGGTGACAAACGTGGACACAATATATAACATACATTTCAGTGTCACTTTCACTGTATGTCTTTAAAATACAGTTTCAGTGATACAAACTTATGATGGCAGAAATTGCAAGTAGAACACAGAAATATTTTCCACATTACACAGAATCCATAACTAATAATTTACAAGATTAAACCTCTCTGACTTTAATGTAGAGTTTTCAAAAGGTTTGAGCTGTATGTTCCTTTCCAACTTTTTTGAGAAATCACACAAAAGAACTTCTTCCCCCTATAGCATACACATAATTCTGGTAGTCTTCAAACAGATAAATCAAAGCATCTAAAAATTGGCTTGCTTAGTAAATGATAATGAAATAGGATAAGTTTCAAAAAAACCTGCTTAGAAATATACAGCATTGTAAACACTCCACCATCTACACACTATAATTAAAGTCTGGTAAGGTAGCTATATACAAGTGGCAAATCATTTAAAATGATTTGGTCAGAAAAAACTGACCTCCCTGACAAAAACTAAGGGCAGTTGATAGTGAAGAAGACAATCAGAAGAGTGGAAAGCCAGGCTTAGCATAAGCACTGTCTTACTGAACTTTATTATTATGCTATATAAAGGAAATCACAACCTCATTAAAGACTGACAGGATGAAAAAAAAATAGATCTTTCCTGACCAAAAGATTTTATTTTGTACCTTCAGTTTCAATTTTAACTACATAGCATAGCTCCACATACTAAACAATATATTTTGTAGGAAGTTAGAAACTGGATACAAAACAGTGGGAAATAACTTCTGGTTGCTTACAAATTCTGAGTCATAAGCACATGAGATGAAATGAACACTGCATGAGAAATACTTCACATACACCATACACTCCCCTTAAAATAAAATACAGCAGAGACCATATAGGCAGATTAAACAACGTAATATTCATACTCATGTGTTAATACTGACACTAAATTTCCCCCTCTCCAAAGAAACAACAAAAAACCAGGTTCCAAAATCTTGGCTACAATGGTGGCGCCATATGAAAAAAAACAACAAAACCAATCAACCAACCAAACAAAAAAAACCCCAACCCAAACATGCACTGGAGGGGTTTTTTATGTGTAATGTGATTAGGCACATCCTTTCAGCTGAATGTGAGCACTTGCTATGAATTATGCAAGCTCATGCACACAATCAACACATTAAATTACAGCAGATATCACAACACCATGCACACAACAATGGCTAACCAGAGAATCCTACCACAAAGTGTGTAGATGCTCTTCCCTACCCCGTGAGCCACCGCTAGCTCTGGAGCTGTTGCTGTGGAGCCTGGTTACCCACTTTCATGACATGGGCGGTGTCCTTTGGAGAATCTTGCTCCTGTGGCTGTAAGTATTCCTATTTTTATAGTAATTTGATCAGGTCTGTTATCAAATGTAAAGCAGAGTTTGGCAGGAAATTCGGAGACACAATTTGTAATAGTGGAACCTCACATCATATAGTCCAGTCACAGTGTCCTTATAGTAATAATTCTGCCAATATCACAGTGGTAAACGATAAAAGCAATTGTTGAAACTCAGGCCCTGAATGGTTCCTACCAGGCTATGGTGCTCCACAGGGAGAGAGGAACAGAGCCCTTAGGAGATACCCTGAGGTTCTCATCTCTCATTGAAGCAGACTGTTTGTACTACTATTGTACAATAAAACCATAATGAACCCATAAGAAGCAAGAGGAGCATAATAAAGTTAATACCTAACTTAGGTATACTATAAGTTAGCTCTAATCTGCAGATCTTAATTTCCTTTAAAAATAATGGATTTTTTTATTAAGTGCCTTTTGTGAAGGCTCCACATGCTTTAAACATATGAAGATTACTTTATATAGGGTTGAAATATAACAGCACATTATAAACTCACATAGTTAAGTGAAAAATTATGTTAAACTGAAATACAAAGAAAAATTTGGATGGACAAAGTTGCTACCAATTAAAACTTGATATATTACTGAAAACATTTAAGTCACCTAAATACTGCATTTCATTTGAAAACCTTTATATTTTTTACTAAATTTATGAAAATTCTGCTGAAAATCAATATTAATCACTCAAGTGGCAAGGGTGCTGATATCTCAACACTGTGTATCAGAATTCAAGGCAGAGTTCTATGAGAGAAATTACAAAATACTCCAATTTTTGATAAAAGTAGTGGTCTCTTGATCAAGCAGAATATGAGATAAAGCAAGAACTTAAGCAAAATCATATTATTGTAATGATTTATACCACTGCTTTATTTATTTCACCCTGTGGTAACAAGTTCATGTTTTCTGTATCATATCTGCAGAGTGCAATTTGCTTCTAGAAGTATATCTTTTCATATCTCTTAGTCCTTTTCCTACTCTGGATTTATTCAATTACCACTCCTTGCATATGCATAATTATATGCAGGAAGTTAATGCTACTTTTGTTCAGTATTGCATTGTGTACCCTCCTTTCCTACAAAACATTAAGCAGGAGTCTGGCTTTGTCACTTGGGCTCTAATTGCATATCTTCCAGGCAAAAGTTGTCTACTTTCATACTCTTTTCTTCTTTGAAAGGTGATGGACTGAAAGAAGAAACTGACTGTTCCAGTTAGTTACATGAATTAATAAATGCAAACCTTTCACAATTTGACATGGGGTATTTTTTTTGAAGATAAATTTATATTTTTCTATACTATAAAGATTATGCAATACAAACATCCACAGAAATCAAATCAAACTGAACTTCAGAATAGTTCAGCAGTATATCTTTCCCATAATACTTCAAGATTTGCCGCTTCATAGTGGAAATTATCGCTTACAAAAAAGTCGCTTACAACAAAACATAATTGTCATAGAAGTAGTCAGACTTAATACCTCATTCTACTTTACCTGAAGTGGAACCAAACTCATACTCTGTAGAAGCATTTTAGTATTTTAATTTATGGAAGTGTATTATTATCCTTTAAAAATTCACCGCTGTCTCTTCAGTTAGGATATGTGCCTCGTGGTTATGGATTTCTGGCATCCATAGGTCAGACTGGTGTACAGAGTACTTGGTACTCTGTAAATGTACATGTAAATGGTGTGCACAGCTACAATACTCAAAAAAAGACCAGAATAGGGCTGTAGCTTAATATTAACCACCCCTACAGTAAAACAAACACTTATTAAAACTTGTTTTTTATAAAGCTATAGTTATAAAACAACAATCACAATTATTTTAACTGTGTATTACTGTCATCAACAGTTCACTTACCTCATCAGGGTTGGCATTAAAGGTGAGACTTCCCTCATCTAGCTGCATATACAATTTTCTAAAAGAAAATCCTAGAGGCGGATTCTTATTGTATATAGAACAGTGACCCCAAGTGGATTTGCACAACCTATGAAAACAGAATTAGTCTATTATAAAAATTCTTTTCTGAATTTCATATATTTTACAGAAGCAAAATGTAATCAACACTGCAATGCTAAATACTCAAACTATAGGAAAAGTTAGAAATAGGTTATTAATTCTTTCAGTTATTAATTCTTTTGCATGCATGTTGCCACAATCTTCAATTATATGATCATTGTTTTCTTCTCACAGAGGTTTTGGTGTATTTGAGTGCAAACTTGAAACATATCCCAGTAGGTGGCATCATAAGGAAATCTACACAGTGGAGACCTCTGGCCCTGGCAGTATCTGAACGAGAACTGTGAGGAGTTGTTCTCCTGCAGTATTATGACAAATAAAACACTGTGTTTCTTTTCTTGTGCGGTGAATGGGACACCACATCTGCACAAAATGATGCCATTAACTCACCACTTTCCCCACCTTTTCCACCAGAATCTTCTTTTTCATGTCTTGGCCAGTCCTAATTACTAGATCTAGCCCCATCCCTCCGTATCTTCTATAACTTCTCAGTTTCTTTCCCTTCCATCCCAGCTTGACTCTGTATCTCAGTTTCATCGGTTTCTGTCCTTCCTCTCAGTCTTCTTGATGACACCATCTGAAACCCCCTTTAACTTTCATTTTCTATGCTCTCTAGATTCCTTATTGAACTGGTAGTTTTGCTTCAACACACCTGCTTTGTAACTAATTAGGCACAATGTTTAGGACCAGCAAGGAGGACATGGCACAGACTTTGTTTTCAGTTCAGACCTGGGACTTATTTGGACTGAGTCTGGAACCGCAGCCACAGGACTTGCCAAACCTTAAATGCATCCAATACATGTGGAATGTTGAAGATCTGTAGATGTCTACAGAGATTATGCAAATTGAGATTCTTATTAATCTGCTAAATCAGGACACATTTTCATTACCAAAGGGCATACTTTGAATATGACCATTATTTGGAAAGATTTCACTAGAAATGATTGAACTATTTTCCAGAACGAACTTTGAGGAAAATACATTGGAGTTTTTTTTGCCCCTGTATGTTAAGAATATATACTGCATACAACAAAGAAGCTCTAGTATCTTCAAGCTTTAGCCTAGGGAATTTATTTGTACTTAAGGTGGGTACTTGGTGGGCACCAAGAAGTGAGCACAGTACAATGTGTACTGATAAACTTAGAAGGTTACTGGTATCCTTCACTGGAATTTCTATTTCCTGTCAATACAACAATCCCCAACAGCAGAACAATTGTGACTAAGAAATTATATTGCATTATCCTACTGCTAGGTTCATAAAGCAGGATAGGAAGGGAAGCTGCTTAATTCAAACACAGAGGGGCAAGGAAATACACAAGGAAAGGAAGAGATGTAGAGCACAATGAAAGCAAAAGAAACAACCTGGACAAAACCCTAACTATTACAGATATAGTACCGTTGGTTAAGGGGTAAGAAAATGTGAAAGAAGTTACAAGTTTTGCTAACCATCTACTCTGAAGATAAGTATGACTTCATGAGTCTTTCCTAGTGTTGTAAAATTTAAAATATCAAAGAAAATTTTGTTAATTACATTTTGATATTACGGTATTTTGTATGAAAGAATGTTCCTAGACATACAAGCTCTGCACATGTTTTACATAAATGTGTTTAAATCTAGACTGCAGACATTTCACTTGAGAAAAACCAGCCTTTTTTTTTCCCACCTCCATAACTGTCTTCCAAAAAAACATACACCTAAGTTGCTCTAAGACAAATATAGTAGATGAGTTATCCTGTCTTTTCATTTGGAAGTTTGCCTAAATAGCATTCCTCGCTCAAGCTAGACACTGGTTTGAAGTTCAGAGAAATAATACAAACATTTGAGATGTGCTTTGAGCTAATACCAAAGTGAAAACAAGTCCTGTTTATTTTCCCCATAATATGCCAAACAATAGGTGTGTAATAATACACTTGGGCCAAATACACTTGTGTACGTAGTAATCTCCAAAAATACCCAATAGTAATTAGAAATCCAGAATAACACATTTTTAAACTATATATGCTTCCTCTATGTCAAAACTCATTTAACTTAAGAATCCTTCGCTAAGGTCAGAGTGCCAAAAAGCACTTACTGAGACAAATTTAAAAGTTAATTATTTTTATAATGTCCAGGTCACACTTTTTTGTTCATGCTTACCCTTGCCAGAGGAGCTCATCATTAGCAAGATCCTGCCAGACACATGAAGCTAGACAGAGGTCAGTTGCATTCAGGTATGACAAAATGGTAAAACTAAGCTCTGGTGGCAGCATTTCCAGGTTAATGAATCCTTCTTGTTCTTTGGATTTTCTTGTCTTCAACAGGTGGTAGATGTCAATGCCTCCTTGGGCTTGTTTGCGATGGCTTGTATTGGAAACGTTAGCAGCTACCCTCCTACCATGCTCTCTGGTAAGATAGCCTGGTCCACCGTATCCTTGCTGTTGCAATTGCTGGTTCCTAGCAACTCTCCAGAGTCCCTGACCCATCTGCGAGCCTGCTGGACATAAAATCCAAATTAAATGTTGACGGCTATTAATAAACATTTCTAAGACAGACTCAGCACACACTGCAAAATAAAATTGTAGGACTGATCTGAATAGATAAAAAGTGAGTTTTGTCAAAATTATGGTGACCATGTCACCTGTCTTCATAAAGCAACTGAAAAAATACTGAAAACAAAACCCATAATACAGCCTAGATTTTTTCGAAAATTTCCATGCTTGAAGAGTTACAAAATTAACAATAAGCATCTGCAAAGAGTACCAGATATTATCTATATCCTATGCAAGTTAGGAAGCCTCAAGCTTCAGAACATTTGGAATCTTTAGACTTCCTTTAAAATTTAATAAAAATATCCCATTTAGCATCGATGAAGCACTATAAAATACAAAGAAAAACAAAATTGCCCTGAGTATTGGGTAGCACACAAGATGAGGTTGTGACTGACACTGAAACAAAGTTTCATGACTTCAAGGATAATGCAGTAAAGATTTTGGGTGCTTAGAAACAAGAGAATGAGTATCTTTTCAAGCTTTCTTGCCTAGTGTCCTAACACAAATCCTTCAGAATAATGTACTCACATACTTAAAAAGAGGACATCACTGCAGAAATAGTATAAAACCCCTTTTTGTAATGTAAAAAAAGACTAAAAAATACATTCGCTACTTTAAGGATCAACTGAAAAAATTTTAGAGAAGAAACAAAGCGGGACACAATTTAAACCATTCTAGAACCAGCTGCTGGAAATCCACAAGGCTCCAATATCCGTGTAGCTATTCAGCAGCTTATATGCTAGTTGTTAGAACACATATAATCTTCCTCATCATGTAATTACTTTCAGCTCTGTAGTAATTCAGGAAAAACGCTTTCAGAACTCACTCGTAACACAAGATGAGCAATCCCATTGTTATAATAAAGTCTTTTAAGTAATGGTATCCAGAAATACATTTTTAAATTATTTTGAACATATATTTTCAATCTCCAGATTCAACAGGCCACTCATATGTATGTTTTCAAACTTCCAATGATGTAACTTTATCTAGGAATTCAAACCTTGACAGCCTGGCTGTAAAAAATATCACAGTAAAAATAACCAAGCTTGTTTCTAAATTGCTGATCTTTTCCGGCTCTGTCTGGTATCTATCAAAGGCTGATTTAAATTCTAATTGCGCCTTTTTCATGTTACTTTGCTACTACATAATAAATTCTTTAGCAGTGTTGACAAGCACGATAGGATACTAAAGGCAATCTTGATTAATGATGCATTAGCACCGGCTTCTACTTCGTTAAATAAAAACCAACACGCACTCTTGATCTAAATGCTCTCCGCTTTATGGCAATTGAGCCCTGTGGCTGCCGTTTTGCAGCCACAATCATCCCCACAGGAGAACGTCCCTTCCTTCGTAACCGAGGCCCGTAACCGTGCGAGTCCTAAAGGGCTTCAAACTGACTCCGGGCAACCAGGCTGGCGGGCGGAGGCACAGCCCGTCCCGCAGGCCCAAAGCCACCCCGCGCCTCCAGGAGCTCCGCAGCCGCGCTACTCGCCCCCGCCGCGGGCCGCGCCCCTCCCCACACAGGGGCTCCTGGAGCCCGGCCGGGCAGGGCAGGGCGGGCAGGGAAAGGCCGCTCCGCTCCCGGCGATGCCGCGCCAGGGCCCCATTGGGCCGCCCCCAAGGCCCCGCTCCCCATTGGCCAGGCCGCCCGCCCGCCCGCCCGCCCCCCCGGGGCACCGCGGGCCGTACCTGAGCCAGCCCGGGTCCCACCGCCGCCGCGACGAGCCCGGCCCGCGTCCGTGCGAGAGCCGCGCCGGGCGGGAAGGGGCTGAGCGGCCCCGGGGAAAGGCGGGGGCAGCCGGAGGGGCGCAGGGAGGGAGCCTGGGCTGGGAAGGAGCCTCGGCAGGAGGACGCGCCCACCGCCCCGTGTCCCCACTGGGCCGCTCTGACGGCTGCTGTTGTTGCTGGAAGTGACGTCACCGGGGGGCGGGGGAAGCGGAAGTGGCCGTTGGGCTCGCGGCGGCAGATTCAGAGTGTGCCCGGCTCGGCTCCCAGAGGGAACAGCGGCGCTTCCGGCGGGAACTGCGGGGTTCCCACGGGGGGTGCGCCTGGCGCGGGTGAGCGTCAGGATCCCTCCCGGGGAAGGGGTTTGTCCCAGCCGTGCGGGCTGGCTCCAAGCGCAGGGTTCTGCCTCCCCCCGGGGCCGGCGAGCCCCAGGCGGGGAAGGCCCGGCCTCCGACCTGTCCAAGAGTGAGGGAGGGCGGATGTGGAACCGGCCCCAGTCCCACTCTGGCGAGTTCGCCTCAGCGCACTGCGCCGTGTCCTGGCGGGGACACGCGTTTTTCCCGCTGGAGTTGCGGTGGCGCCCAGGGCAGCCAGCCAGTGACACGCAATTCCTTGTGCGGTTCGCTCCTGTGCGAGTTGCCTGTGTGCTCCAAGTGCGACGGTGGTATCTGGCACGATAGCGAAATCCACTGTTTGTCGGTGACGTTTTTGCATCTCTGCGTAATGGTGCTATTTTCCCTCAGTTCCCCACCCCATGCAAGAGGACTGGCTAGATAAAATAGATAAAAATAGAAGAAATCAGAAACCTATTTTATTAGGCATTTCAAAGACAATGCTTACAGTGTTGAGATACTTGGTAACCTGCATGGGGTAGCTATTGTTTTGTTTTGTTTTGTTTTTTTTTTGTTTTGTTTTACATTGATTCTTTGAATACTATGTGCAGTTTTCAAGAATTGTTGTTTGATCCACTTGCAGTTCTGTGTTATCATATGTTAAAACTTTGTTGTATCGATTTTATTCTGGACAGCCAATGTTATGTAGGTGTTCCATCATGAGTTTCTACAGGCATAAGCTATGTGCCACTTTTTACTGTGTTGTAAGATTTTCTGCCAACTTCACTGTTATTTTTATGACTTCAAGCTATTTTGTTTTGTAGTAGTAATAGCAGGTTTTTTTGTTTTATTGTAACAGCAGTTGCTGGTTTTACATCCAGAGGTCCAGTGTAAAAAGGATTGTAAATACTTTTGGGAAATGGCCTGTATGATTAGACAAATTCCTGTGAGAGTATCTTCTGTGAGTATTTGCATTGCAGGTTAGAGCTCCATTTTTATATCAGACTCCTTGAGACTTGTCTTAATATGTAGTTAAACTGGCAAAACCATAGGATGGATCACTTTGTAAGGTAATGCAGGAAGAATAGCTGCCTCAGTTTCCAAACAAATTGGTTAAATTGTCCCAAACATTCAACAGCAAGTGTTGTGTACTTACATTTAGCACAACTAATAACTGAGAACCTAATGATTAAATTGAAAGAACCCCATAATTAAATAGGAAGAAAATACTTTAAGAAGGGCAGACCACATGCAAAGAGCTTGATCTAGAGGATTGCTGATTAAACACCATAGAAGCACAAGAAGAAAAACACCCTCAACAAACCCGGACCATTAATACAAGCCTTAGCTGTCTCTTGAGACCATTGCTTCGTTTATAGGTTGTCTGTCAATGCCCCTTCACTGCTTGGACTGGTAGGCTTCAAAGTACTTGTTATCTGGCAAGAAAAGAAATTCAGTGGAGACAGTGGCAAGCAATTATCTCCCAGGTTCTAGCAGGAAGTTGAACAGTGATTTTCTATTCTAAGGCTTAATAACTGAAGTCATTACTCTTTAACTGAGGCTTTTGTGGCAAGTACTGTAGAAGATTAAGCCAGTCACAAGCAGATCTTGAGGATGTGAGGAAGAATGTTCTTTGAGAGATGTCAGCTTTCAAATTTTAGGCTTTTTTTAATCTCCTCTAAACGATTCAAAAAACACTGACTTTGATAGTTTGCTGATAGGCTTTCTCAAGTTCTGTCAGTCTATCCAGGTTGTTAAGATGCAAGCATTTGTTTTCAGTTGTGACTTTGGAGCTGGTCTATGATCCAGTCTGTGCTCTTAAAGTTTTGTATTGGAGAAGAGCTAATATTGGTTACATATAAACAAATGGTTGCAAGGTACAGTACTTTTAGGCTGTCTCTAAATATAAATTTATTTTCAAGGATAATTATTAGTACTGATACTTGAAGGTACTGCTTCAGGTGTTTCATTTTACTATATGCCAGCCAGGCAGAATTGCCAGTACTTTTAGATCTCTTATGACAATTTTTAATTTCTTTTTTTTTTTTCTTGTTTTCTCCCCAGTCTTCTCTTCTTTCATTTGACAATTTATTAATCAGTTCTGTTTGGTACATACTAAAAGTGGGTGCTTCCTGTATTTAATTATGCCTTCGATAGATCTAAAAACTGATTTAGATGTTGGTAGTTTCATGCTTTGCTGATTCTCTTTTTTATTTTTTTTTTTCAGTCTTCAGTTTCCTTGTGGAATAGTACTTCAGGAAAAGAACTTTTTGTAGTTTGCACCAAGTCCTTAGATTCTAAAGTTTCTTTCTTCTGCAAAGCAAAGCTTACAATAAATTAAAAGTGGATTCTCAAGTTGTATGTTACAATGCAGAGGTTAAACAAGGACTTTTTGGTTATCATCCCAATAAACTATTTTGCCTAAATATCTAACCACTCTGTTACCCCCTCCCCCTTAACAATTTTAAGTGTATTTAACGAATTGTCCAGATAGAGAAATATTATCTGTGATGAGTTGCTAGTCCTGTCTTCTGATGTCTACAAAGCCAAACATTGCTCTTTTGGCCAGTGAGCTTAGGGCCAGGTGGAGAAAAGAAGCATTCTAAACTGAAGAATGCAGAAGCTTTTCACTACTTGTGGAACTTCTGCTCCTTTGAAACAACCAAGAAACTTGTTTTCATTCAGTTTTAGTGGATTTAGCCAACACAAAATTCTTAATTCTTATGTTTTCAGATACCTTTAAAACTCTTTGGTAGTTGATCACATTGAGGATTACTGCTTGATCCTCTTTTGAATGAAAGAAGATAATACCTGGTATTAATTGGTATTGAGCTGTAGTTCTGTGCTGTATTGTAATGCTTTGGAAATAGTAGTGTTTAGAAGGGGGAGCAAAACTCTTTGAATTTCAGTGGTAATTCTATTGCATTTTGTAATTTTTGTGTATATTATTTTTTTAAAGGGGATGTACTTTTTTACATTTATTCCATACTGAAAGAAGAATAGCATTCAGGATAATGGCAACAGGAGACCTAAATGGAAGTTTAAGAAAACTAGAACAAGGACTTCGCTTGTTAAGTTATCCCAGAGATGTGGATTATACAGTGTAAGTGGCAGTGTGAAAATTCGAGCTAATACACGATGACAGTAAGATGTGTAAACAAGCTATGTGTAAATATTAGCATTACACATAGTGATGAGTAAGCAGAGCATATGTCTGCGGGAAGCTGGGGTTTGGTGAATGAGAAGTGGAATACAAAAGGGTGCAATTTTCCTCCTCTGACCAGTCCTTAGAATAATCCTGAAGTATATCACTGTATTGCTCTTCTGCTGTTCTCTTTTCTTCAGTTAATCTCTCACCTTTGTAATTTCTTTGTAAGTGCTTGCAAAACTTCATTCAGGAAGTTTCATCCTGTAAAGATTAAAAAAAGGTGTTGAATGTTGAGCTGAAAATGCTGGTGGGCTTTAGACCTGTCAAGGTTTAAATTATATAAAGATCACAAGAACTTTTTTTTTTTTTGAGCATTATACAGATAACAGTAAAAACTGCTGAATGAGATATGCCTGAACAAAAAAACCTTAAAATGAAAGAGAGACTTGGATATAACTTGCTGGCTGTATTAATGCCTTTCAAGTTAAATGTTTGAATTCATGTAATGAAAGGCTTTTGTTATCTTCTGTTGTGTAAAATACTCTTGTTTCTTAATAGGTTAGTAAAGGGTGATCCAGCTGCATTTTTACCTATCATCAACTATTGTTTTACTTCTTTTTCAACCTGCATAGCAGAGCTTTTGGTAAAGTGTGATGTGGAACTGACAGCAAAGAGTGACTTGCGTTTTATTGAAGCTGTTTATAAGGTATCTGTCTTTGTGATCTTTGCAGAAGAAATGCAGTTTTGAGTATAGCCTGACAAAAATTAAACATCTACTATGAGTTTTATTAGAAAGTGAAAATTTCTGGCAACAAACGTGAACTGTAGCTCTGTTAGGAGTTAAAATGAGTAATAAGTCACTGTGTGGCAAGGGTTTAGGTTTTCATGAAAATAAGGATGGGTGATGTTAGCCAACGGTCTCTCTATTTTGAGATAGTTGCAGAAACAGTAATATGGTTTTTTGTTTTAAAGAATACCAAAATATTTATTACCTAACAAGGTTTATAGAAGTGACCTTGGAAGAAATCATACCACCAAAAAAACCCCCACATAAAACTTAAAAAACTGTAATGAAAGCGCAATTAAGAAATATGGCTATTTTAAAACGCTATGCCATTTTAATCTATGAACTCGAATACTTAACACTTTATAAGTTGGAATCAAGTTCTTAACTGATTGAAAATAACTTTAAACTATCCTTAAAATATCGATAAGCATGTTTTTAGAAAAGGTGGCTTGATGTATTAACAAATGGTGGCTAATTCAGACTAGTCCTCCATCTGAGGAGGACAGAGACTGCTTTACAGAAAGGTTCTGGGGCAGCTTTACGTAGCCCTCTGACGCATTTGCTGAGATTGAAACAACTTTTTGTTGCACAGTCACTTTGGAAAATCTTTGTTTTAAATTTTTTAGTATTAATTACTACAGTCATTTATTTCATGAATCTTAAGACTGTGGGTTAAACTTTGAAGAGTGATGCAAATGAAATGTTTCTAGAAGAGGAGGTATGTTTAAAGCCTAGTTAAAAGAAACAGCTATATATGCATTTATATATGTATAAATAATCAAATGAGAAAAGGTTTAACTGTTGAAGTGCAGAATGAAAGAAAAGATTGTAGTAAAACAAGAATATGACCATGCCAGTTCTACAGCAAATTGTGTGGTGATTTTGAAAGTGAAGTAAACTCC